TGGCTTGAAAATTGCTGAGGACAGGTGATGGGTCCCAAGTGTTCATTATATCATAATAGTTTTATATATGTTTGACATTTTCCATAATAAATTCTTAGATTTTTTTAAAGTTGTTCCCTTTCTTACTGTATGCTGTTTAAATTACTAGTGTAGTAATTTATCTTGTAATTCAGAGACCACTGAAAAAGAAAACTAACACTCTGTAGCTTAAGCATATTTATAATCAAATCTTATAATCATGAACTCATGCTATAGGCTTTTGCAATCCCTACTTCTAAAACAGAACTTTATATTAATAATGTATATGCTTTCTATATATATACTATATATACATTATACAATATACACAAATATATATACATTAGTACAAAAATAATTTGTTATGTGGAAAGCAATCATGGGATGATTTAAATTGAATATAAATATCTGCACAATTTTGAAATATACATTTGGCTATTATAATGTATTAGATCCCAGAACACATTATTTCATAGACGCTTTCCTCAGAGTACTTTTCTCTACTTAATCACTGGGAAGAAACTCACCTTCACAGCAATTTCAAGGCTACTTCACTAAGAAAATAAGAGCACTGACAATACCACCTTCAACTTTCTTCCTGCCCTATCCTCCCTTCTGTTGTTTCCCTCTCTTATCCTTTTAAGGAACTGTAACAGGCTGAGCAAGTATACAGGTTCTAAAGCCAATATATTATTGTGCCTAACTCCTTAGTCAGCCGTAACAAACCCTCTGAATCTCAAATTGGTGGTGAGTAGCTATCCCTAATTCAGTTGTGTAAGGAGTGAGTTTCAGCTGTTACATCCTTCACCTTCCTCTTAATTACCATCATCCTACATTGAACCTCCACTGTGTTCTTAGTACATCACATACTCACTTCCTTCTAGCCCAAAAAGTAACCTAAACTGTCACTTCTATAAGGTGGCAGAGAGTTAAAGTTACTTCCTGTAGTTATATCAAGAAGGTAAAACTGTTCTGTTTTATTTCTGCTTATTTCCAAATCCAATAACCACTTCTCTCAATGTTCATTGTACTCTGCTGCTCTACATTATTGGCAATAATAATTCTATATTTTCTTTCCCTTGAAATCATCGTCTGCTCTTGTGGCTTCAATTTACACCCTCATATAGATGATACCAAAATCTGTAGTTCTAGTTACCATCTCTTGAGTTCTCAAAAAGAACTTCCAACTACCAATCAAGCAACTAATTCCATGTGGTGAGATTACCAGTATCTCAAGTTTAAGGTACACAAACGAAAAATTATTTTATCCACCTTTTGTACCCAAAGATATTCCTGTGTACTTTACCAAAGTAAATATATTATCAACTTTACTAACACTCCAGAACATCTTTAACCCTTAACTTTCACTCAAAATGCCCCCTATTTACTTGTCAAGTCCTATTGATTTTCACTTCTGTTAATTCTCTTACTTTCTTCTGTAACCTTTTCTACTTTTAATACCATAGTTCAAGACCCCTTTCATTCCAGCCTGAACTATGTACAATAGCTAAATAGTCTCTGCTCTCAATGTTTTCTCCCTCTATTGTTCAACCACCATATTATCCATCACAATAGCATTCACAACTCTTCAGAAACTGACTCATATTTGTTTACAGTCTTTCTCTTCCCTCCTCCTCATCATGGGCTCTAATCAAATAGAGCTTCTCACATTCTCCAAGTATGTCTCATACAATACACATGTAAAAATATGTTCTCTTCTTTATTATAAGTTTGGCTGTGATCTTAGTGTTAACTCACAGTATATCCTAATTTTCCTTTATTTCCTATGTTTTATCTGTTTCTACAATTCCCACTGTTGAAGTTCCTTTTTGTTCTTTTGTGACCTGCAGTAACTTATCAAAGTGGATTCTAAAGTCGGTGCAGCTTTCTATATCACCACTATCCCTTAATATTTTTTCAAGTATATTATTTCCTTTGAAAAATCTGTATTATAGTGGCTAATACAAAAGTCAAGAAAATATTTCAGATTTATAGGTCAGCTCTACTCACCAAGGGTTCAGCCATTACAACTTCAATTTTCTTTTCAGCTTGAACAGCAAATTCTGCGAAAAGGCTCTTGATGACATATTCCCCAGGTTTGACATCTGGGTCAATCGTAATGTTTGACATGATGATGTTCTTTTCTCCCCAAGTGGAATGAAAGTTGGAAGAAGCACAGTACTTATTCACTTTGCTGACTGGTGCTGAAGCTAAAAGTAAAAGAAACAAAAGAACTCCACTTTAATAATCAACTTAAGAGGCCTACCATAGCTACCCTATTTCCTTTGTAAGCTGCCTCTAACCCTCAACCAGTTCTCCCAGTCTCCTCTACCATAGTCCATTTTGTCTATTTCACTTGTCACTTTCTAACATACTAACATATTTATAATTTAATTACATATCATGTATATTATGTACTGTTTCTCTCTCCATCCTACTAATGTGAAAGTAAGAACAGGGATTCTCTTTTTGTTTTTGTTGTTGTTGTTCACGGTAAATCCCAAGTATCTAGAACAATGCCTAACATAGATCAGGTGCACAGTATTTACTGAATGAATGAATGGATTCTAATCAGAGAGTCAAATGCAATAAAGGAAATAAAACAGATGTGAATAAATGAAACAGGAATGGGACTGGGGAACTGAAAAACAACACTAATTTGGAAAATATGCTCAGTGAAGACCTCACTGCAGAAGCTACATTTAAACTCAGGCCTAAATGATTTTTCTTTTTTCCTTTTTTTTTTTTTTGAGACGGAGTCTCGCTTTGTCTCCCAGGCTGGAGTGCAGTGGCCGGATCTCAGCTCACTGCAAGCTCCGCCTCCCGGGTTTTCACCATTCTCCTGCCTCAGCCTCCCGAGTAGCTGGGACTACAGGCGCCCGCCACCTCGCCCGGCTAGTTTTTTGTATTTTTTAGTAGAGACGGGGTTTCACCGTGTTAGCCAGGATGGTCTCAATCTCCTGACCTCGTGATCTGCCCGTCTCGGCCCCCCAAAGTGCTGGGATTACAGGCTTGAGCCACCGCGCCCGGCCCTAAATGATTTTTAAAATGAGGGAGCAAGACAAAGCACCAGGAACAGAAAACACAAGACTAAATGTGCCTGGTTAAAAAACAGCAAGACCAGTATGGCTGGCGCTCAAGGGAAGAAGCAGAGGTGGAAGGGGATATGCGATAAGGTCAGAATCAGTAGTCGGGGAGCAAGTCACAGAAAACAATTAAGAACTTTGTAAGAAAATTAGATTTTATTCCAAATGCAATTAAAATTCAGTAGAAAGCATTAATATGGAGAGGGATAGGATCTGGCTTTCTCTTTATAAAAATCTCTCTGGCACCTCTGGAGAATGGATTGAAAGAGGAAAAATGTAGACCCAGGGAAGCCATTACAGAAATCCAGGTGAGATAATCGCAGCTTGGACTAAGAGGATGGCAACAGCACAGGAAACAAAGAAAAGTATTTAAGACTTGTCATATATTAGTGGGTTAATCAGTGAAGTGAGACAAGGGAACTAACGATGACTCACAGCATTTTTACTTGAATCGCTCAAAGGATAGTGGTGCCATTTACTCAGATGGAGATGACACGGTGCTGGCAAATAGTAAGCTGCATCAGGCTTGGCCCCAAAAGAAGACACACCACTGCATGCTGTGTGGCTTCACCTACTCTGTTCTTCTGACTGCCTGGGCAGCCTACTTGACTTCCTATATACAAGTTTTCCAGTCACCTCCATATCGATCCCATATGTTGATATGTTGATCCCATATCCTCTAACTTCAGCTTATGTTGCCTTTTTCAGCTTAGAATATTCATGGAGAATCTGCAAGTCTGTGCTTCTCCACCTCAACCTGAACTCCAGAGACTGCCCTTGAACCCCTTCCTTTAAAGAGGAAGCAGAACACAATTACTTAAATACTGACTTCCTGTGTTTGCGTCTATGTGTATATAACTATAGGATAATAAATTTGTTCTAAATACATAAATTCAAAACTTATTAAAAACTTTTTCTGTCAAATTAAAAAAAAACCTAGTCTACCACATAGGTCAAAATACACAAATCTGTAAAAGTAATCTAAAGAATATCACAAACTGGTAATATTATATCTAAAATAAGTATCTTTGTATCATATCAAGTTAAAATACATTATGTACTGTATTCTAGAACTAAAATTATATAATAAAACAACTCAAAACAAAAACTCATAGTCCTCTGAACACAGTGTACATTATTTTAAACAATGACCTGTTTGTTTACTCTGTTTCATGATCCAACATTGTGTATTATCAAAGAGGGAATCTGTTAACAAATGTCATTGTGGAAAAAAAGAAGAGCTCTCAAATTTTTAAAAAATTATTTTGGATCATTAAGAGTACTATAATTTAAGGTAGTGGATACAAACTATATCTTTTCCTTTAATTAAGATTCACAAGGTTTTAACAGTTACAAAGTTTCTCTAGCTTTAACTTTACAGTAAATGTAACTAAACAAGAACCTTGTAACTAACCTAGTACTTCAATTCTAAATTTTAATGAAGTAAAAACTTTTAAAATGACACTTTAGCCTTTAAACATTTTTCCTACAAAGAAAAAAACTTTACTTAAAATGAGTTCACAAGTAACTTGCCTTTACTGTTACTTTCTTAAAAATAAAGCATAACCAAATATTCCTAGGTATCATAATTGCATACATTAAAAAATTTGCCAATAAAGCCAAAAATTTTAGGCAAACCTTTACTTACAAGTTATCTGTCAAGATAAAAATATTTCATTTGATAACTCAAATTTTTATGGAAAAAACAAATGTTTTTGATTAAATAATTTATTTAAATTTTATTTCTTCGTAGATGTTTAATAAATGCTTGTTGAAATTATTAATATAAAAAAGTAATAATGAATGAATCTACTGATTGAAATTTCAAACTAAATTTCAAATTTTATTTTATTCAAAATAAATTATTTTTATAATCTAATAGAAACAGAATGCTAAACAGATCTTTGAAATTACATTATCAAAAAATACCAAATGGCACAGGAAAGTGTTCAAAATACAGTATTAGGTGAGTAAAGATCCTAACAGTATGTATATAAAACCAAAGTAAAATTAGACAGCAGGAAAAAATATGTGGGCATATAATAAACACACAGTTAATCACTTTTGTTTCTACACACAAAGCTGCGATGAAATCAACTAGCAAAACACCCATACCCCCAAACTGAAATAAGGACAAGGACATGAGCAAACAAGTTACAAACAATAAAATGGAGGAGTCTGGTAATATTTAATTTCATTAATATTCTAAACACAAATAAAAATCAGGTAACATTTTTCATCAAAGTTGTCCCCCTCAACTTTATATTTCGTCATAATGTTCAGCCTTAGTAAAGACATGTGAATTCTTTTCATTTTCTGCTAATAGGAGAGAAACAGGGATGATCACTCCAAGCAGAAGAAGAAAGGCTAGCTTCCATATAACTAGATTAACTTAAGTTACCTGACTGCTTGCATTAAATACCTTATAATGCTAAGTTGTAATATTTCTCTACATGCTAAACCAAAATTTTGAAAGATTTATGTAAGCCTATGAGAGAAGAAAGACATAACTGTTAAGTCTTAAGACTGCAATTCAAGCATTGAATTACAAACTGGAAAAACCTCATGTCGTATTAAACATACTTGGAATATAAATCTACTAAACTCTAACTGCTAATAATAAGAATAAACCAGGACCTGAATAATTAAAATTTGGGAATCTAAAAGTTAGCATTCCTGCTCTGTCTCTTAAAGCTCAAATAAAAACTAAATATCAGTATTTTTGGATGGCTTACGCTCTCCATAGCACTGTATTTAGTATATTTAATAAAACAATTGTCTTTTTCACGCTGATGAGACTCCTAAACCATTACAAAATAAATTTAAATTCAGTCAAAAAGAAGAGAAAAGTGAGAAGAGAAATAATGTATAATTCTTACAATTAGGTGTGTTTGAGTTCATTACAGCAGCAGATCTCAGCTTTTTTCTGACTCCTTTATGCTTTTATACACAACATTCTGAATAGTAACAGCCCTCAAAATACACACTGGTTCTCAACAATTGGGGTATTTTAAAATCCCTACAGGTAGATGTGGTCTAAAATAACCACAGTGAAGACTGTGGAAGCTGCCTCTAGCTTCCTCATCCCCAAGAAGAGGTCTTTAAGGATTTAAAAAAAAAAATCTTTGGGCTACTACCTCATAGCCACAAACTTACATAGGTACATACATATTATATGCATATATTTATAAATAGATTTACATAACAGAAATTTTTACATAACATACAATTGCTTAGTATTATAATTATTATTTATACACCATATTGTCTAATAATAAAAATTTTGATGACTACCTACAAAAGAAAAAGTAGAAGGTAAAGGCTTTGGAACAAGAACAAAAGTAAAAAATATCTGTGACTTTACAATCAGATACCATCTCACGCCAGTTAGAATGGCAATCATTAAAAAGTCAGGAATCAACAGGTGCTGGAGAGGGTGTGGAGAAACAGGAACGCTTTCACTGCTGGTGGGACTGTAAATTAGTTCAACCATTGTGGAAGACAGTATGGCGATTCCTCAAGGATCTAGAACCAGAAATAACATTTGACCCAGCAATCTCATTACTGGGTATACCCAAAGGATTATAAATCATTCTACTATAAAGACACATGCACACGTATGTTTATTGTGGCACTGTCCACAATAGCAAAGACTTGGAACCAACCCAAATGTCCATCAATGATAGACTGGGTAAAGAAAATGTGGCACAAATACACCATGGAATACTATGCAGCCATAAGAAAAGGATGAGTTCATGTCCTTTGCAGGGATATGGATGAAGCTGGAAAACATTCTCAGCAAACTAACACAAGAACAGAAAACCAAACACCGCATGTTCTCACTCATAAGTGGGAGTTGAACAATGAGAACAAAGGGACACAGGGAGGGGAACATCACACACTGGGGTCTGTTGCAGGGTGGGAGGCTAAGGGAGGGATAGCATTAGGAGAAATACCTAACATAGATGACGGGTTGATAGGTGCAGCAAACCAACATGGCATGTGTATACCTATGTAACAAACCTGCATGTTCTGCACGTGTATCCCAGAACTTAAAGTAAAATTAAAAAAAAAAAAATCTGACTTTAAAAAGCAAGCACAAAATTTTTAGTTTAGAAAGCAGC